GGGGTGGTCCAGTCAAATAGTAAATCTACTAGATATTATGGTGAGAAGTATGCTTCTCGACTTGAAGCTCAGTTACAAGAATCTGACATTCAACCAGCATTTGATGTAATTGGTGACAACTTGGACATACTAAAATCAACGTCTTCAATGACAAAAGAAAAGCAAAGAAAGAGCTTTCACTGGTTTCTCTTGGTTGGTCTCCAGAGAAGAGTTTTAGTTCCAAGTTTGCCAGATGATAAACCAAAACATGACATTTTAACCTTGCCCAACCACTCATTTCTACCCAGCTCTGAGGAAATTAAAATTTTTGAGAGCAACATGGTACATCACATCTTGAAAGTTCTTACAAAACATGTCGGATGTCTAAAACCCTTTACAGAATGTGTACCAAAATATATCGCCCATCCTTTCATAGAGCAAACTTCCAAAAGATCAACATACTTTATTTTGGATTTGATAGACAAAAATGAAAACTTGCATGATGACATGATTAGTATTCTAGAACACATTCACCAAAAGTATATTGCACACACTTCTGGAGAAAATGCGGAGGTGATAGAGAGGAAAGTGTTTGGTGGTGATGTACTGACTAACGAGCGTGCATATACAGCACAGTTAGCTATGCTTAATTGTGAGACGAATTACCACAAACTTGGAGGAATTATTCATAGACCAGAGGGCCTCCATAGAATGATGAACTTTCTGCTGGTATTTCAGCATGCAATGGTTCTGTTCCAGTTTTGCCAGTTTTTATTTGTTCTTTTTGTAAGTTTTGAATTAGGTAACATTTCTATACACTGTCAACAAATCAATAGTTGTGTGAAAAAGTAAACTAACCTATTGGTCCTATTTACCACCTACAGGCTCTTGAATACAAGCAGAGATAAGTGACAATGATATTTATCAGTATAAAAATACAGTAGACAAAAATGAACACACAAATAGATGAATAAATTTATATGATGGAAAAAGAATCCCCTTGAAATATACTTCAAGTTTGTTGGCAGGACAAGACGTTGGAATAGATAGTTAAGTTAAAAGCATGAACCATTTTTCTGTTCAAAAAGCTCACCTGTTGTGAGCTTTTCTGATTTTCATCAGTCTGTCTGAAACTTCCATGGTGAGCATTGTGGTCCATGGACCTTCTGTTAATACTAATTTTATCTTTTACTAATATTAATTTTCTTTTTTGTTACTTAGTGCTTGATTTTAGAGTCTTTCAAATCATTATGCATTATGAAACTACAACTGCAAAGCAAATCTTAGTTATCTTCTAGCAATAGGGCTGTGATGATACAACTTTTTCTATATCAAGTGGTTTTAATCATTATGCATCTCATATTTATATTAATCATATTTATTTATAAGTTAAACCCATAATGTAAAGTAAACAAAGAAAATATAAGAAAATTTAAAAAATATTTTAGCACTATTTCAGTATGATCCTTATACAGAATCAACATTTATGATAATGTTTCTTGATATGGTCCCAGCCCTTGTCTCGCATAGCAGTTGAATTGACAGTAGAACTCAAAACATGTAATGCTCTGATTTACAGAATGGGACGCTTTGAAGCTTATCTGTTCATAGATTTTTAAGTTTAGAAATACTTTTTTCCCATTTCTGTTTGAAAAAGAAAAATTATTAAAAAAAAAACCACACATTGAAAAGTTCATATTTAATTTTTGATTAACAAAATTAAATTCTTATTAATATGAAAATTTCTACTTGATAAGATTCTTTTATATGAAACTATTAATTTATTTTACAGTTCATATACCAGGAGTTCTACAAACCATCCTCTGCCTTTGAACAAGGGACTTTATTTCAGTTAAGAAATGTCATTCATAGAGTTGATGTCACTGGAAAAGAAAGAGTTGTGGAAGCATTCAGGTATGTTCTCAGAGTGAACCTCACTTTAAAAAAATCCAGGCATATGTTGTCTTTTATTCAATATTCAGATGTGTTGCATGTACTAATTTCTGTGGTTGTCAATTTAGAGCTCATTTTGCATTTGTGGAGGATGCTTTAGATGCATTCATTCTGGGGGCCGCAATGGATGTCATGGGTTTAGAAGATATCAATGGATCTCCTCAACAGTTTAACCCAAACACCTTATCCTTGTTTAGTGCTGAGGACCAGTTCTCATGGTTAAAGAAGTTGGCAGAGGCCATCATTGACAAGCACATAAACCTACAAGGTTAGCATATTTACTGCAAGCAAATAACTACTGAACCAAACTTTGTATTTATTAACCGAGAAAAATTTTGTAAAGTTGATTTTTGTAATGAGAGTCAGTTGTTGTGTGTATATACACATCAAAGTGAGTTGTATCTCTTTTTTTCTTTTCAACTCTTAGATTCAACTGATCTTCAAGAAATGACGCGGTCTGCTGAAAGAGATACACAGGATATTCTTATTAAAAACATGTTTGACCCAATGCTGAAACAATATGAGTGTACATGCAGAAAGAAATACAAGACACTTGGCTACTTCAAACGCCACTTGGAGAAGGAACATAACTGGCAGTTTCCTACTGAAACAGTTCACGACACCCAGCACACAGACAAGATTGCAGTTTGGCGTGCATCATTCATGAAAACCGCTCTTATATTAAGAGACACTTGTGATGCATATAAAATGGGTGATGGAGATAGAATATTCCTGAATGCGAAATTGGAAATGCTTTGTGCCAGTGTTGCAGGGCACACTAAATACCAGTTGTGGCTGTGGAGGATGATGGCATATGAACAAGCAGTGCTTTCACCTAAGAAAGCAATGGAGTATAAGTGGAATACCACAGCAAATATCAGCGGAACTGTGGATGGGAACATTCCAAATGACAATTTAGTTGAACTTTGTGTCCAGTTAATCAAGAAGAAGCTGAAAGAGCAGGGTGCAAATTTCACATTGAAGAGTGCACAAACAACTGCACTTGCTTGCCAAATTCAGGAGGAATTAAAAGAGAACATTAGGCAACAGCTGTCTAAGAAAGCTGCAGGAAAATCCAGAACCAGATCTGACAAGTCAGCAGACATCGCTCTTATGTTGAATGAAGTGATTTCAGGTGGTCTATTTAAAAACATTCCAGGACGACAATTTGAAAACTTTAAGAATTTTAAGGGTGTTTTTGAAAAAGTTAATCTTCACAAGCTTCATCTTTGGATATCTAAGCACAAGGAAATTGCATCATATGAAATGATTTGAAGTTTAAGTGTTTACATTGTAGATGTATTTTGATATACAGTAAAACTTGTTTAGTACAAACACGGATATAGCGAATTCAAGGATATAGCGAAGTTTTTCTGGGTCCCCGGCAAAATTCTTAACAAATCTTTGTAAAATTTTACGGTTATAACGAACTCTGATATCATGAATTTACGGATATTGCAAACTGATTTTGAGTCCCCTTGAGTTTAAATATGATAAAATTTACATCTTTTATAAGAAATTTTGAAAGATTATAAAAAATTGATAAATTGAACTGACTTATTACCATTTAGCATTTGTATATAAAATTCAATTCATAATAAAACCTTAGTTATTGAAGATATATTTTGCAAAATTTGCTTCCCTAACATATTTGGTAGTAATACTTGCATATTGCAAATTTGCTATAATGGTTATATGAATTGGTTATACGGATATAACAAATTACGGTTATAGCGAATTAAATTCACAGGTATCAAGTTTTACTGTATATACATATATTGGCTTATACATATCTATATATTTTATGTCATTATATATTCAAGATTATTTGGCCCAGTATGAAAAGAATTTACTGCATCTTTTGTAATTCTCAAAGCAAACCATTTCACTTTGTCACAATTTTAAATGTTAAAACATGTTTTTTTTATTGTTCTGTATAGTGGAATTACAAAATGATACTTTACTGCATCTTGTGTAATTCTCAAAACAAACCATTTCACTTTGACACAATGATTAACTTGTTTTTTTGTTGTTGTTGTTGTTTAGTGGATAAATAATGACAAAATGATATGTTGCTTTTTGTGAATAGTATCCCAAAAATAAAAAAAGATAAAAAATAAATGGATCAAGTTTAATATCATTATACAGAAGATAATTCGACTGTAGTAAATCTACAATATGCTGAACAGACTAAATGTCAACATTATTAGGTCACTCAGGTGACTATTGCTATCTGTTTTCATCCGTCGTCAATCGGTCATAAACTTTTGAACATTTTCAGCTTCTTCTCTGGAATGGCTGAGCCAATTTCAACCAAATTTAGTATACAGCATCTATGGGTGAAGGGGAACAAAAATCGTGAAATTAATGGTCCCTGCCCCCCTGGGGCCTGAGGGGTAGGGCCAAAACCACTAGAATTAATACAATCTTTAAAAATCTTCTTTACTCCTGGACATCAAGCAGTCAAACTGTTGGCATGATTGTAATCAGTATTGATTCCTATACCAAAATTGTGAATCTGGCCCCAGGGTCAGGGGTTCTGGGGTCAGGGTGAGGCTATATAGATCATTTAGTAAAAGTGCATTATTTCTTTGAAAATCTTCTCTGCTCCTGGGAATTAAATAAATTAACTAAGCACATAGTTATGATGAGCAAGAATGTCTCTTTCAAAATTATGAATTTTATGGCCCCAGGGTGAGGGGTTCTTGTGTTAGGGTGGGGCTCTAATGATTATATAGTGAAAATACATTAATTCTTTAAAAATCTTCTTCTCTGCTCCTGGGTATTAAATAAACTAACTTAAGCACATAGTTATGATGAGCAAGAATGTCTCTTCCAAAATTATGGCCCTAGGGTCAGGGGTTGTTGTGTTGGGGGGGGGGCACTATTGATTATAGTGAAATTAAGTTAAATGTAACTATATACTTATGAGGAATAATGGTTCCTTTTTCAAAATTTTGAATGCCATGGTGTCTATTTTAAAACATGAACTAAACTCAATCATTGGAAAGTTGTTGCATGATGCTCAGGTGACCTACAAGGCCCATGGGCCTCTTGTTTAAAATATTCTAATCTGACTCTGTGTCGGAAGAATCATAAACCAAAATGTCATTAAACACATCATCAAAAATCTTAATTATTTGCTTAGCAGTGTCAACTAACCAAACTGTTGCATATTCCATCACATCATTAACTGTAAATATTTTATGACAATTAACTAATAGACTATTAATGGTTTTATCTCTCAGTTCAGAATGGTCACCAAACAAATCTGGCATGCTACTCTGGGCTGACTGCATTAACTCTAGCTTGTGCTTTAAAGTTGTCTTGTCCTCATCACAGACTTCACGATGGAATGTGTCTTGATCCTGTGGTGATTCCTCCATTGTTTGGTAAGCTGGATGCGTCAACTTGGGACAATCTACACAGTCACATTTTTTCTCACAAACATCACAGCATTTGTGCTTTTGTTCATAAATATGACTAGGTGCACTGTAAGCTTTGCACAGAATGCTTCTTCTGCACTGATTGTCTGTCTTTATCAGTGATAAATCTTCAGGGTCAGTTTTTTTAAAATGCCCTTTGTGATTCTTGTAAAGTATTAATTCATTGGAAAATTCATTGTCTCTTCCTGCCCTGCCCATCTGCTGCGTAAGGCTGTCCAAGTCTCGTGGTGGACCATAATGTATGATGTTGTGTAGGCCCTTGAAATTAACTCCCATCCCAGCAGCGTTTGTACAGAAAAGGACTCTTATTTGTCCTTCTTCAGACTCCATGTCCACAAGAATTTTGTCTTTCACGTGTTCTGCTATTTTGCTGTGGAACATATGTAACATGGAAGAATCACATTTCCTTAAAAATGTACTGTAGAGTAAGGCACAGTCTTTTATGCTGTTGCAAAATACAACATGTCTGGGGGTGTTTATTTTGTCCCTGTTGAGAGTTTCAATAAGCCATTCAAATGTGTCACTAATATCTGCATTATTTTTAATGCATTTCACATTTATTTTAATGTTTGGTTTGTCTGGACTGTCCAGTATGCACACATAATCTTCCCTGAAGCATAAACTTTTCATGATTTTCTTCCTGTTTGATGGACTAGCTGTTGCTGTCAGCGAAAGTAAGGGCACAGTCAGGCTAAGGGATCGAAGCTCACCAATCTTTGAAAAAAATGTTCTGAAGGCTTCCTCATTCTTCTGCCCTTCACCCCTGAAAAATCAAAGTAACTTAAATTATCATTAAGGATTTTGTTTATGTTGTACCACAGGTACCTGATCAATAAGTAGCAAATAATGCCCTGGAACACAACAACCCACCTCCTCAATATACATGTGTAATGAATATGTAAATGGAGAGTATGAGATTTTTTTAAACTCCAGGACTTTATGCGCTATATCAGTTAGATTTATTTGGTTCCTGAAATCTCAATTTAATTTACACCAATGTCAGGACTTGTGTTCTACTGAGAGTACTCAAAATTTGATGGCGGGTAGTGTCGATCAATAGATAGATAGATGTGATTATCCATTGGAATGAGATATGATTAGCATTCTGGTAAAATTAAGATGTGATTATCCATTGGAATGGGATATGATTAGCATTCTGGTAAAATAATACAGCTGTGAAATTATGGAATTATTATGGGAACATACCATTGATAAACTGTGTGGGCTTCGTCAACAACTGTCAACTTGTGTCTTGCTGAAAATTCGGGATCCCGGAAGATTTCTCTCCACTCGTCGTTTCCAACCAAGGCTTCAGGACTTCCAAATAAGAACTGGTAGTAACCCTTACGCACATCATCTTTTCGGCAATCTGACTTTCCGATGTATGTTGCCCGGAAACCCAGTCCTGAGAGTCTGTTTACCTGCTCTTTCATGATGCTGAGAAGCGGGGAAACTATGACACACACGGCCGATTGTCCAAACACAACGGGGGAACTCTCATATATGAGTGACTTTCCACTCCCTGTCCTGGTACCTACGAATACATCTTTTCCCTGCTGTATACTTTCTATAGCACGTAACTGATCTTCCGTTAATTTCACTTGAAATACTTTCTCAACCTTTTCTTTCGTGGTCTCCGCCATTATGGTTTTTTTCATACACGAACAGCATTATGAAAGCCCTTACCCGATTGGCTAGATTTTGAAGTTAATATACAGAACATCCGCTTGGCGTCGCCACTGCGGGCCACAGTTTTAGTGGTGTAATCTGCCAAGGGTTTGCATACACAGCCATACGTTGCTCCTGCAGACGCTCAAACATATCAAATGTACTATTCCAACGCGTAGGACAGTCAATGATCAAATTGTTCTCAGGGAGGGACATTTGTTTCTGTGAACATGCAATTCGTTAGTAGCAATAACCGATTTTCTAGAAAATGAGAAACAAGTTTCTTTGTTGTACAATTGTTTTCGATAGAGAACTTGCATTTATCCATACTTATCGCGAATTGCTAACTGCAATGTGTGTGAGCAAAGCATCGTCTATGTTTCCACCGAGATGCTCAACACAATAGCACCATATTCGAAGCATTATCCGTCACGATAGCACATATCTGTGTGTTGTTAACTCCAAACTCATTTGAAATTGAACGGATTCCATTTGCCGTAGTTTCCTGTGTGTCGCTCTGTAACTTTTCTTGTAAGCCAGAACCGAGTTACGATAGTTCCATTGGTCATCAACAAAATGAGCCGTCATTGTTATGTAACCTTCTGTCGCCAGACTAGTCCAGTGATCAGACGTAAACGCAACAGAAATTTGGTTTTTAATGACGTTTTTTAATTTTTGAACAGCATCATTGTATTGGAGAGTGACATAATTTGAAATGGTTGTACGGGACGGAACTTTAGATTGTGGATTCATCTCTGTGCAGAATTCCTGAAACCCTCTCCCCTCTACAATACTCAACGGTCGTAGATCACGTGCACACATTAATGCTAGTTTTTGTGTAACTTTCGAACATCTTGCTACTGATAGAAGTAAAGGAGATCTGAAAGCAAATCAATTGGTGCTTGTTTTAACTGCTGGGCGACTGGTTTGCTTAAGTTAGTCGATTTATGCTTGAATTTAATGTGGTTCATCATAGTGCCTGTGTTCTCCCTGCATAAGACAGTTCAATGGCACAAAGATTGCATTTAACCGTCTTTTTACCATTATTTTCAATACAGTAAAATATTTCCATACCTCACTCCTTTTTTTGAGATCTTCAACATTAGTTATTTTTTTTAATTTTCTGGCGTTAAAAGACAACTTTGATATACTTAATAAAAAAAATTACACGATAACAATGATGGATCCGGTTTACGTTCAATATTTTAAAGCTCTATATTCAACAATTTACCGTTATAAGCATGACAATTTGTATTTTCTTAGCAATAAAACGCAGCATTAAATGTTATTTATTTTAAAACATATGCTTGGAAAAATAAAATAATATACTGCTAGTTTTCGCTACTGGGAAATCGGAATTAAAAATGTTAGACCGCATTGGGTTTTAAATAGTTTTGTGAAATATTGTTTCCGGTATCGATTAAAACAGAAAACAATTGTTCGTAAGTAAATTTGTAACAGACAGACTGTGTTTTCTTTGGTAAATATAAAATAAAACAACTTGTTTGTGTCAGATTTTATTTCTGGTAGACATTGATTATGACCTTCGTGTAAACGTTTACTCAATTCGTTAACGTTTAGAGCATTTTAATCGAAACGTCGCCGTTTACACGTGTAATCGTTTCGCCCTTACTTCTAGGTCACCTAAGTATCATGTTACAACTTTCAGCAATTGAATTGATTCGTGTTTTCAACCAAAGGCCATGAAATTCTCAATTTTGAAAGGTCACCATTGCTTATCTTAACAATACATTTATCTTGCTTACTTGGGTACTTAATACCGAGAGGTCAGTGCAGAAACAAAGAAAATCCATTTCCACTTTATAACAAGTTGTTCACCACACCCGACAGGAAACTATGACTCTGGGGGCACATATTGCAAAATTCTGGAAATTTTATCATAAATTTGATTTCATTATAAATGGTTGATTAATACCAAAGAGCAGATTTCAAAGCATTAAGAGGAAGAAGGACCTTTAGCTGAAAAAATACCTGTCGTTTAATTTTTTTAATATTTTTTTTATATCTTATTTAGTATGTCCCAGATACCATAAAGCAGCTACATCAATAGGTTTCTAGACCTATTTCTGAGATATTGAGTGACAAATACTACGCCCCACAGTGTCTGAGCGGAGTTTTGATTCTCCGTGTTTCTGGGCCCATTACTCTGTCGATAATTGAATTTTTTCAGCATAGATAAAAAATATGTCAGCGGAAATGTGTCTTTTAAAATATTTCAGAGTATGAATAGGATTAAAAATTCGAAAAATCACGATTCTTTTGTCACACCGCATCTGGAGATGAAAAATGACGTACTTTTTAAGACAACTTAAACAAAAAAATTAATTTGCAAAACATCCTATCATTAAATATTTGAAAATTTACTGTAAAGCCTTTTTAGTAAAGAACTAAGGCGCTTTTCTTCATTTGATTTATTGTTGAATAGTAAATGTATGTAGTAAGAAACTGAAAAAATAAACAACACAGTCATAAGTACAATGTTACACAGACAAACAGGTAAACAGTACAATACATGCAACTCAGGCAGACTAGTACATATCACTATGTGTTTCATTCCATAAATGACTCAATAAAAATATCTCTCTTAATACAAACTTGATTCTTATGACACTTTGTAAATAAACAATTTGCTAAACTTAATATGTAATGAAATTTAATGTTTTGACTAGATAATTCGAGTTGACAATATTTATAATTTGTCGTACATGAAATATTCGACTGAATACGTGACATACAAAGACCATGTGTGCCCTAACCTTGACATTAGCTATCGTTACTAAATTTAGACAAAAGTACAGAATCATGTTTCATAAAATTCTACACATACTACAAATGCATACATCTTCATCTTGCACAAAGTTTATAATTAATTATTAAGAAATGTAATAAACAAGAAAAACTTACTCTATGCGCGGGACTAAAACCGCCAAACATGACATAAGGCTTGCTGGTTTGATGCAGGCGCCATGCCGTCAACCATACTCAAACGGAAAAAGTGTATAAAAAAACAAACAGATCACAGATTCAATCCGGAAAAATAACTAAGGGGAACAACTCAATTTCATGTAACACTACATTTACATTGAAATTCAAGTTCGTCATGTTATTGATTTACTGTAAAGATATCAATTAGTGAAGCTGAGCTCAATATTTCATAGGACATACTTAAACAAGACATGAAAATGAGAAAAACGTGTCATGTTTACATTTCTCGAGTACGAGAAAACCCAACTATGATGTCACACATTTGCGAAATAAGCGAAATAAGACATACCTACAAAATATTTCCGTCAAGAACAATGTAAAAATATTTTTTGTGTTCTCAAATTCAAATAATACCCCACCATGTACTGATCATGAACCGTTTTTATGATATCATACTACCCGTGTTTCACTTTGTATATAAATCTAGAGATTGACTATGACGTCAACGACTCGTTGGACGCGCAGTGTAGGGAAACAGAACAGTGAATCAATTTTTTCCGTAATTTGATAATATTTGCAAGAAAGTATGACTCTTTTAAATATTCTTTTACAAGATGGTGAAAGCTAACAAACCGTCAAAAAATTATACAAGAACTGTGGTTTCAATCTTGTTTTGTACATGTTTTATCAAAGATTATGACGTATTAAACTGAGTCATGTGACCATACATCCTTCGTCCCCTTTATTTATTTTCAGTCTATATAACCCCTACCCCAAAGTACCCCTGATTCAGGGGCCGTGAAATGAACCATTTTCGAGAGTCACCGTTCATCATCACTAATACTAGTATGTACTTAGAACATTGCTCTCCTCCCGTAACCTCAGTTATCGTTCTTAGCACGAGTTATCTGTTCCTTATAGCAGGTATCACAAAACTTCCGGTTTAAGAGCAAATGTCGCGGATAACTAAATCAGTGTGAAATGTTAACATTTTTAAAAGAATTAAAGTTTAACTAGTGAGTCTGAAGTTGGTCTCTGGATAAATGTATGATCTGATAAAATGTACAGTATTAAATTTTAAGATTTGACCGAAACACACAATTAAAAATTACAATCTAAATGCATATACCATATATATTGGCCAAGTTTTAACCCCCTAAAATGATGATATTGAAAACAAAATGCGAGACAAAGATGTTGGAATGTCTCTGCGAATTATGTCAAATAATTAAGGCATCTAATTTCCACAGTATACTTCACATAAAAGATTAGTCTTCGCTGAATATGAAACTCTTAACGTATAAAAGGGAGAAATTGTCAATTTTAAAAGTAAACATCCCTGCAATTCCTAATGATGTTGCAAAAAGAAAATATAATATACATTGTATATTCAAATGTACTACATCCATATTTGAACGGAAATAGTTTTATTGAAATGCCATTTTTGTTTATATATTATGGAGAGACACGAATTACGGACCCCCCTTTTTCTTGGAATAAGTGTCAACTACTGATGATCCTCTAATGTTCATATATCCGAATAGTTCTCCTATAAAAAAAAATTGGAACCAAATAAACCCCGAACCACCCCTCACGAAATAGGCACATTAACAACTAATTAACTAAGGACGTTAATCATAAGCTAGAGCCAGTTCAGTTTATTTACTTTAAAACATATGGTTCAAGACTGAGGTACAATAACATATATACAAGTACTGGTATATAATATTTGATCAAGCAAGGAGGGATTAGATATAGCTGAAGAGAAAATAGACCAGACTAATTCTTTTGAGAAAAATGACATCACAAAGCTGAACATGGTTGTTTTATAGAACAAATTTTCTAGGCCAAAGAATTTTTCCAGCAAATTACATTAAACAATACTTCTTATTTGAGTGTAAAAAAAAATATTTTCAATTACCGGTATGTCATTTCTTATTATGATCCTATTCATTCAAGTTTGACTACGAAATGAAAATTACAAACATTCCGAAAAAATGGTTCCCTGTAGTTTACTCTCATATCATAC